GTAATATGTTATTCAATATATTTAATATATATTACTAAACAAATCCAGTATTTTTATAATTTAAACAGATTATCTATTTTTCAGAGTAATATTAAAACATTACTTACCAAATTATTACTGAAACGTTTCAAATAGAGAGGTTATCCATGTTTATAAATCAATCACTGAATAGTATTTTGTAGTTTAATCTATCTTTTAATGTTAAAAATAGAAAGGTTAAGTACTAACATCAACTATCAAATAATTTTTTTAATGAAATTTAATACAATTATCAATAAATAATTCAATCTCGCTTGATGTCAACAAACGTGTTTACTATACAAAACCATACTGGTGTCTTCTCTGTAGGAGCAAAAATGGCGGATGAGAGTACTCATCTCTATAGTGCTCTTCTAGTGCAAGACATCAGAGCTACGGATAGTCAACCATGGGGTGTCAGCACCGAGCAGGTGCGGGACGTCAAATATTACGTAATGGCTGCGTGAAGTTACAAAATTTTGCACTGTTTACATTTCTAACAAGGTGACATTCAGAAATATTCGCAAATAATAGTTATGATTATTTAATTGATAAGATAGTAATTTTCCGTTGTTCAACACGTAATGTTAAAGATTTAAAATAGATTGAGTGAAACACGCAAAGAACGACAGTAGAAGTATTGAAAAAACAAAACAAAAAAAATATTTATTAAACAATGAATCGTTTTGTAAGTAAAATTCGTCCTTTTCGACTATTTTCAACAGCGAGTCTTCCTGCGCCTGAAACAAAACCACCAGTTTTATATGCTGGTATATTTGTTGACAATGAGTGGCACAAATCCAAATCTGGAAATACTTTTCCAACGATAAATCCTACTACTGGTGAAATCATTGCAGAAGTACAAGAAGGAGATGCAGCAGATATTGATTTTGCCGTACACGCTGCTAATAAAGCATTTCGATTGGGTTCACCATGGAGAACCATGAATGCATCTCAAAGAGGTCTTCTTTTGAATAGATTGGCAGATTTGATAGAACGTGATCAAACTTATCTTGCTTCTTTAGAAACATTGGATAATGGAAAACCTTATTCAACTGCGTATATTTTTGATGTTCCTGCAACTGTTTCGACCTTAAGATACTACGCTGGATGGGCAGATAAAAATCATGGTAAAGTCATTCCTATGGATGGAAATTTCTTTACGTATACTAGACATGAGCCTGTTGGTGTATGTGGACAAATTATTCCTTGGAATTTTCCTATGGTAATGATGGCTTGGAAATTAGCACCAGCTTTAGCTACTGGAAATGTTATTGTCTTGAAACCAGCCGAGCAAACTCCATTAACGGCTTTATATATTGCACAATTGACAAGAGAAGCTGGTTTTCCTAATGGCGTAGTAAATGTTGTACCGGGATATGGCAAAGCTGGAGCTGCATTAGTTGCACACAAGAATGTTGATAAAGTAGCTTTTACTGGCTCCACGGAAGTAGGAAAATTGGTACAAGAAGGTGCTGCTCGAAGTAACTTAAAACGAACAACATTAGAATTAGGTGGAAAATCACCTAACATTATTTTTTCTGATGCTGATTTTAAACATGCGGTTGAAACAGCTCATTTTGGATTATTTTTCAATATGGGTCAATGCTGTTGCGCAGGTTCTAGAACATTTGTAGAAGAAAAAATTTATGACGAATTTGTAGAGAAAAGTGCTAAACGTGCTCAAGCTAGAACAGTCGGCAATCCATTCGATGAAAATACTGAACAAGGCCCACAAATAGATGAATCTCAAATGAATAAGATAATTTCTATGATAGATACAGGAAAGGAGCAAGGTGCTACATTAGTTACTGGTGGAAATCGTGTAGGAGAAAAAGGCTATTTTGTTGCACCAACTGTATTTGCAAATGTTACCGATGATATGACTATTGCAAAAGAAGAAATTTTTGGGCCTGTTCAACAAATTTTGAAATTCAAAGATATAGATGAAGTTATAGAACGTGCTAATAATTCTGATTATGGATTAGCTGCTGCAGTTTTTACAAAAAATATAGATAAAGCTAATTACTTAATTCAAGGTTTACGAGCTGGCACTGTTTGGGTGAATACTTACAACGCATTGTCTGCTCAAGCACCATTTGGTGGTTATAAAATGTCAGGTCATGGAAGAGAGCTTGGAGAATATGGTCTTGAAGCATACACAGAAGTTAAAACGGTTATAGTTAAAATGGATAAAAAAAACAGTTAATATAATAATTATTTTAACATTTTGTATTTCAATATATACACATTTATATTTTTATAATTTTTGTATAACATATTTTTACTTATATATTATATTATTATATAAAATATACTATTTACATTATACAGTAAATACACAATTTGTGTATTTTACCTTTACCTGTAAAGGTAAAGTATTTAAATAAAATTTAACACAATCTAATATAAAAAAGATTCTCTATATCATTTTTATTCCCGATAATTTAATAATGTTGCATACTAACTTAGAATCTAATTTAAATTTATTATAGAATTTGTATTTAATATAATATTAACACCAAATATTATTTGGTATTTAATAAAATTAAGTTCAATAAGAAAATGTTTTTTAAATAATTATACTTGTCAACTAATTAACTCATTACTTTATTATTTATTTTACACGATATATGAAAAGGAACTATCAATTAATAATAAATTTGTTTAACTTATCAATGGAATTATTATTAATTATTAAAATTATTCTTATCTATTGAAATTTTGTTGGTTAATAGATAAATTAGTACATACATTTTTAAAACATGTAGGATATCGATTACTTTTTATCTAATATTTTTTATCATATTTAAATATTCGTAAAGTTCATTCAAAATATGCGTCATTTTTTTAAATAGATTGCTTATCTATTACCACTCTAAGAACATTTCTTTGGTTGGTATGCCTGAATGGAATGAGTCCAATACAATTCCGGTTAAATTATAGCGTTACGTACTATTAACCTTATCTTCTGTGAAGATTTCTCTCAACCTGTGAATGTTCTTTTAGAGTGCATTGGTTAAGTATGGAGTGGTTGTATATCTTATTGGCCATTGATGACAGTTCTCTGACATCTTTTTTGAAATTGATGTAATGATAAACATAAAATCATGAGTGACACAACAGAAATTTAATATAGCTTAAGAACAAGTGTTCACACATACATATACATATACATGTGACAGGTAAATTTATATAATATAATTATTCATAGATAATATTTTTGAATATAAACTAATAAATTAATAATGTGCCATATATAGAATTAATATTAAATAATTTATAAAAAATCTTATCGACAATCTATTACGTTGTTATCAGTACGTTAATTGATATGGTCATTTTTTAATACCTACATAATAAAATAATAATCTTTTAATTGAACTAGTGATTTGCAGAATTTTCATTGATTACTCTCTACAGAGATAGCAACTTTTCTAAAACTATCATTATTATAATTAAATAAAATTTAATCTTTTAACGAGCAATTATACTTAGAAATAATTTTATATGTATTCTAATAAATAGGTTATGTTTACAAAATTCATAAATGTACTAATATATATTTATAGAAATTTCTTATTTTCTACAATGCAATGAATTTATCATAGATTTTGATTAATTGTTAAAAATTTGTACTCGTACAAATATATATAAAACTACTTTCAAGAGCAATTACTATATACATATTTTTATTATATATTTATTAGAATAAAAAAATAATTGATATTTTAATCCTTTGAGTTTTATAGATATATATATGCATTTAATAAAACTTGCTAAAACATAGATTATAGATACATAGATGCATTTGTCGATGTAAATGTAAAGAACGTAATGTCAGTTCGCATATTGATAATTGTTTTTAGTCTTGTTGCACCAAAATTATGTTTGAAAAAGCTTTCTTATTTCATTTGGGAGAATAACAATTATAATTTATTATTAGCTACATCTAATATTATCCATTAATGGTCTCGTATTAACAATAAAGTATTCTGTCTTTTCAAAGCACTTCAGATAAGAGTGCAGTTTAGATAAGAGTAACATTCTAAGAGTTAACTAAAACAAGCATTATTCATAAAATAAAATATAGTATTTATTTTTCAGCCTACAAACCATGATGATTCATATTCCTTGATTATTGAAAAACTTTAAAATATCATCATGGAAGAAAACGAATTATACAATGTTACAGTTCCATTTTTGTCTGGTATTGAACCAGCATTTTGGAACTATTCTGATCATGTTATTCTTGATGATCTTAAAATGGATAGCAACTTTATATGGTTGCTTTGTTCATTAGTATCTGCCATATCTTGGATCATCTATATAGTTTATTATAACAGCAGAGTTATTGGTTACATATTAACAAAATTGTTGAATCGTTTTGTTATACGTGATGGATATGTTAAAATTGGTACATACAATAATGATTAGATTAAAATATACATATATATTAAAATACATGATACTTATATTGTTCCATTTCCAGGATCATTTACATTAAGTGCTCTAAGTGGAAAAATAATGTTTAGAGATATAGTTTATATTACAACAGATTATAGTATTAGAATACAAGATGGATGGCTTATATTTAGGTGGTGGAGGAGTTATGTACCAAAAGATGTATCGGAAGGTAAAATTAATATATGTATATTTGGCATCAAATAAAATACTAAATTCAATTTAAAAAAATTAATTAATTTCTTTTATATTTTAGATCTTTCTCATTCAGATACACGACTTTCAGTAATGTTAAATGGATTCGAATTGCATGTATATAATCGCTGTCAGTTATATGCACAATTGGAAAAATTATTCGGTCTCACACCTCAAATGTTTGCAGACGAAGAAAATTTTTGCATGAATACAGATGATCGTGATGCGACATCATTAGGCAATACTACTCATGAAAATCGTCAACAAACAAATGCAATGGATGTTTCACGTCATGTTGATAACATTAGGAAAAAAGAAGCTCATGTTATTGCTAGAACCTGGAGAGATTTAATACCTGTTATTAAATTAGATGTTTGTACGGTTAGTTGTAATAATTATATTATTTTTCTATCCAATTATTATGAAATAGGATATGTTTGTTCAATGTAGTTATATTTTCAGGGAAGATTAGTATTTGGTAATCGCTTAGTACCAACAACACTTTCAATAACCGTAGAAGAAGCACATTTCGTATACTCTACTAAACCAGCAGCATCTCGACATGATCATTTCATGCATTTTTCAAAGTGTAAAGCAGAAAATTTTAAAGTCATCTTAGCACCTAGTCCCAAGTATACAGGAATGGTTGATGATCCACCTAGGTATATGGGTGAAGGTTTTGTTGTATTAAGTTCTAATAATATGGAAGTATATTATTATATGGATGAACCTGGATTCGTTCCTGAACACCCAGAAATGATACAATTAGTTAATGGTGATATGGTCGAAGCAATGCCACCTATTTGGGGTATAGACATTAAATGTGGGAAGGGTACAGATTTTAGTTATGGTCCTTGGGCTGACGGGCAAAGAGAACACTTATTCAAGTTTTTCTTTCCAAATGATTATCAACCATTGAAAGTTACAAAAACTCCAATTCCAGGAGAGAAAAGACAAGTGCAATCTTTCGATATTAGATTATCAACACTTAACGAAGCAACAGTTGACATACTGTTTAGTAAAAATAGAGAAACTAATGCTGTTCATATTAATGTAGGACCAGGATCATATTTGGAAATTACCATGCCATGGATAGTCTTGCAGGATGGATATACTACTAAAATAACTGGCCAGTTATTACATTTAGAAGCTACAACAAGCTTGCAATATCGTAGTTTATTTGAAAGTGAGACATTAGAATTTGGAATAAAATGTCATTATCCGATAAGATGGAATGATCATCAAGAATGGGCTCTAAATCTAACTGGATGTAAGGCTACGGCTAATTTAGTTTATTCGCACAAAGAATTTTTTCAAGATATGATTAATGAATGGGCCAATAAATCGAGGCCTGATATATTGCATTTTGTTCCATATACGTGGAAATTCAGTTTGTTATTGAAAGAGTTTGAGTTAATCACAGTTTGCAACGAATATAATTGGATCGATTGTTCATCTCAAAATCAAGAAAACGCACATATTGCTTTTTGCGGAGAATTTTTTGATTTATCATTTGATCTTCCTTTTGTTGACTTCCTACCTTTAACAATACCTTTACGTTTCTGGATTCAAGGGGAAAGTGTTGATCTTTCGTTTTATTTGCCAGAAGTTAATACAAACCGTGCAATACTATTAGCATTAGACAAGAATGCAAAGATTATGACACGCGATGGATCTCATAAACATTTAAACGAATTACATAAAGGTAAAAAATGGAGAAACATATGTCAAAAAGGATCAGGATGGGTAGACTGTTGGTCTGTTCCAATTGTAGCATTAAGTATTAATTATACATATCATCCATGTCCACCATTAGGACCTACTCCACAAGCAAATATAACAACCCCTGAAAAAGAAGAAATTTTACTTTCCCCCATAAGAATTCCACGTTGTAGAAAATCACCAAGTCTTCAATGGACTCGGAATGGTACACAAAAGTTTGATCCACAATCTATACCTTCGGATAAAGTTAGTTTGGAGCTTGAAATTGGACCATCTATATTAATTTTATACGGATCATTATTAAGAAGTTTTATGCATTTAAAAGAAAATTTATTTGGAGATTATCAAACTTTCACTGATATGCAACAGAGTAGAACTAGCCCTACGGTTGTAAGTACTGATAGAAGTAAAGATCGAGATATGCAAAACAGCAGTGTAGAAGCCTCAACGGAGGATGAGGAAATCAAATCTAAACCATTTGATCCACGAGATTATCGACCATTAGAAGTTACAGTGGGTATTACAATGCATGATATACAGGCTCATTTGATTAAAAATTGCAGTGAAAATGATCCACCCTGTCCTGTTATACTTCTGGAACGATTTGGTTTTGAAATGAGAAAAACTTTCAAAGAAACAGAATTGCAGCTTCTTCTATCACCTGCAATAGCATTGCTTATGGATAATGTACCAAGATCGAGTAAAGAAAGACATTTAAATCAAGGCCACTTAATGTTAAGTGCATTACAAGTAAGAGGTCATGCAATGTTCAGTAATGAAGGAAGAAGTTTGGATCAAGAAACATTGGAATATGCATGGTTGATCGAACTACAATTAGGAAAACTAAGTGGAAAAATTAGTTCGCCACAATTACATCACCTTATAACCTCTCTGGAAACCTTTTTATTAATGGTTAAGAATTCGGAAAATAGCTTACGTCCTCCAGATTTACCTCATCATTGTCATCATGGTGTTCCTCCATTACAATGTACAGATAGTGATCCTGACAAACATTATAGGTGATTATTATTTTTTATACAATTGTATCAAATGCAAAAATAGTATTAAGTTAGGAATATTAATATATATATGTTTCAGGTGTCCTAGTTCTGAAGATATCAAATATAGAATGACAAGGTTATCTGTAGATGCCATTGATTTATATTTCCAAGAAGTGGGAACAGTAATACAATTGTGGATATCTCCAATTCGTTTATCAACTTGTAATTTACATGGACAACAAGTCAAATCTGGTGTAACAGGAGTACTACCTACAATATTGATTCGCCAATTTGTATCTGCAGCCGGCCATTTTGCTAATACAAGTAATACTAATACAACTGGTAGTGGAAGATCATATAATAATACGAGTAGTAGGTTGTCAGGTATATGTTGAAAGAATATTATGTATAATCGTTAATCGTACAGATAAACCTATATGCTGAATTTTATTGTACATACAGGTGATGGAACTGACATTTGGCTTGAAGTAGGATCAGTGTCTTTGGGTCCAGTTATTCTAGAAGCTGCAATTTCTCTTCCTACTCCGGAACATGATTTGCACTTAGTACAAAATAAATATTTAAAAATGCATGATGAAGAAACAAAAAGATTGTGGTTTCTTTGGCCCCAAGAAAGTGGTGTAAAATTAACGAAATGCGGATGCATTGGTGGATGTGCATTTTTTGGAAATAACAGAAATGGCTCAAGATTTTTTAAGCCGAGCTATCACGATCTACAAGATGGAATTAATATCGCTGCTTATAGGTAAGATAGACCACTTTGATAAATAAAATTGTTAAGAATTTTGTTATACATTGAAAGGTAAATTATAAAAAATATATATATATGTGATTAAAAAGTATTATAATTACTACTTTTGGCAACAGAATAACTTTTCATGTAGTTGCTTAATCCTTCTCTTTTGTTTGTTAATAAGTAACTTGTACATTTTACTTTGCTTTCTCATATTTTCTATTGCTGACTTTATTTCCCATGATTCATCTTTTTTATCATTTTCCTGAACTGAAAATGTCCACATATTTGCTTCAATAATTTTCTCAATTAATATCTCTCCAAGATGAGCTTCTTCCATAACTAAATTCTCAGTCTCTTTTATATCGGCAATCATGTTTTCTAATATTCCTTCTTTCGGTCCTAATATTTCACCATTTTTTACAATTTTATTTTCTGCTTCATACATCATGCTTTCAATTGTTGACAAAATTTCATTCCATTCTCTAATTTTAAAGAAATTTTTTTTTTAATATAGCATTTAACTTATATAAATATTTAGGAGAGTATTCTAATAGAACAATAATATACCTATATGTTTCTCGTAATTTGTTATATATTGCTTTATCAGATTGAATTTCTTTGTCTATCTCAGATTTCATTTTTTCTATCATTTGTAATTGTCTTCTTTTGCCTCTTTGTAATATTACTTGTCTGTCAGCTATAAGTAAATCTAAAAAGGTTGAAACAACCTCTTCGGGATATAAATCACATAATTTATTAATATCATTATCTGTTAATGGTTTAGTCACTGTCAATTCCCACATAGATTCCGTCCCTTTTTCCTTATAACTTGAACAACATTTAGAGTCAACTGAAGATGTTAACATATGTTCTTCTATTTGTGTTACTAAAAGTCTTCGCTTCTCTTTTTGGAGTCTATATCATGAAAAGAAAATGAAATAATATAACGCGATATTATCTATTAAAAAGATTAAAGAGCTGTTTCATAATTGATTCAAAAATATTTCTAATATTTTTGATTGAAAATACCTAACAATAACTTGTTGTCTTAGTATTTCTAACAACTTCAAGTTTTTTTGCTCAGGAGTCAATTTGAACATGTATTTCATTTTGGGATCTTTCTTTAAATCTTGTTCTAATCTATTTAATAAAAACTTTATTACGTCATCATTCTCATATTCGACTCCTGTTATCTCATTATCAATTTGCCTAAGTAATTTATTGTAAAATTTCATTCCATCTCTTTGTCTGGAACTTGCTGTTTTTTGTGGCGTATGTAATGATTGATACAGTTGAATAATATCACCTATACATACAACATGTACCTATAATAGGTTTATCATACTATTTAATAGGTATTTACGAATCGAAAAATTTCTATTATATATTTTTATTATTTATTTGATAATGTATATACCAGATATTTTAGGTTCTATATTATGTTTGTAAAAGTCTTCCATTTGAGCTTCTGATAAATGTTCTCCCAATGCAGTAATTTTAGATATATTGTCTAAAGTTTGCGATTTAGATGTGCTACTAGTACATGAACAACATATGCTACTAGACGTACATGATATTTCTTTATTAATATTTAATCCGATATACGCATATGTTCCTTGATCATCTGGTAAACAACGTATTGCAATATATGTTTGACCATCTGCCGATTTTTCTTGAAAATCTTCAGGCATTTCACCTAACATTAAATTTATTTCTTATCTATTCTGTTTTATATAAATATTATTTTTCTAAAAAGAATATTTCAATTATAATAGATAATGAATTGAAAAATGTCTTACCAATTCCAGTTTCTATTTTTGATGAAGAAATTGTATCCGATTCTTGTGAAATAAAAACACTTTTTGCAGGTGGCAAAGGTTTATCACCTGGAGGCATTAAAAATAGCCCGGCCATTTTTTTTTCTTGCATATTCATAAGCAACTGTGATAAATATATATTGCGATTACGTTTAGATGTTATTCCTTTAACTTTTTCTCCACATAATTTTGTAAGCCATTGCATGCATAACAATTTATCTTTCTCATCAAGAAGTTCAGTATAATAATTTTTGGCCAATGATATAAATTGAAGAAAATCGTAATCTAAAACTTCTTCAGTTTCTAATTTTTGAGCCATAACTGAATATTATTTATTATAATTATTCTTAATGTACAATATATAAAAAATACACAACTACTTTTTTTTATATCAAAAACATGAAGAAGAAATAACAACTAATATATATTTACAATTTTGACACATACAGAAACAAAATACAACTACTATACTACATAGATTACTAGGCACAATAATGTTTACTTATAAGTTATATAATTTATTATAATATTTTATTTTTTTAAGGATCTACGAATCAGGAAAAGATAAAGGATTTGGACAGTCTATTTTACACGATAATCAATTAGTTTTTCATACACCTCCTTATAGTTTACAAGATGTATCTTTGCAAGACTCGTGTTATCCTGTCACAGGTGTCAAAGTAACTATTGTCCAAGAAGGATTACAAACTTCAAAGAAAAATATTGATCGTCCAAGGTCTGGTTTATAAATAAACATTTTTTTATATATTTTTTACCTGAATAATAAATGTTACATTTCTTTTTTTTGTTACAGTGCATCTAATATAAAAGATGTTCCATATTCTCGCTTGGTTGATGCCAGTCCTGTTGCACAGCTACCACAAAAATTAGATTCTGATTCTAAATTAAATACTGAACGTAGTAAATCTATCTTAAGTGTTCCAGAAATTGAAACTGCTCCAAAAAGTAGTGTATCTGATTCTAAATTAGCAGTAGATTATTTTAATGCAACAGATGGTGATACGGCAGAACAAAGTAGTAGTCCTCAGTCTTTACCTGTAGAAATGGCTTTTTCTGGATCTACAAGATCAGCAACAAAAAGTAGTGATCGTGTCAATGTATCTGATTCTCACCATTCATTATGTGTAAGATCAGATTCCGAGGAACGGTTCAAACAAGAAGTAAGTAGATGTATATCTTTTAAGAAGAAAGCATTTGTATATAATAAACGTTTTAATTAATTTCTTTACCTAGGTTCAAAGAACTATTTCAATGTCATCAGAAAATCATTCAGAAGCATTTTATTCTGCCGATGAAGACATGAGTCATGGTTTAAGTGGAAGTAGAACGTCTAGTTTACGTCAATCTATCGTTGGTTCTGGATCGGTCTTAAATCGTAACGACAGTATGAAAAAAAAATTTTCATCTGACCTGTCTATCGTGGAGAGTTCAACAAATGTAAATCTTTCTGCAGCAGATAAAGCTCATACTTTAGAAAGAGCTAAAACTCAAACGTTAAATTCAAAACGCAGTCCAAGAGTTACCAAGAATGCTACTCTCCAGAATGATACTGGTGCATTAAACGATAATGGAGCTTTACATGATTCTTCTGATAGTCATTCCGTTTCATCTACCAGTTTTATATCTGCTGTATCGTCTCAAGAAGATGTTACACTTGTGAACTTGCATATGCAAGTGAATAAACCAATTGTCGATTCTCCACTTTTAATGTCAAGTTATGTCAGTCATTTGACGCAGGTAAAACGATATAAATATGCTTTTTTAGGTCAAATTATGTATTAATCTTGTAAAATAAATAATAGATTCGTGTGTATATTTAATAACAAACAAAAAATGTAAAACTAAAGGTAAGATGCTCTAATTGGGCACAATCATCATTACCTTCTGGTGGAGATGCATTTACAACACCAGTATTTCAACGTACAGAAGATGGTAGACTGGTTTATGTAGGAGGGAAATACGTACCAAAACTTGAAACGATTAGCGAAGGATTTACATCTTTGAAAATGGTAACACGTTGCGATGGTTCACCTATTGCAGGATCTTCAAATAAAACACCCACGCATCCTTACTTATGGGATAGTACAACATTAAATCAAATGGAAGGTAGATATATAAATATTATATTAAGAGATTACCTTAAAGATTATTTTACATTTATTACATTAAATATTAGGTGAAGATAATAATGCTACTCAAGATGAAGAGGAATTATTAGCAGCACACGAAACAGGATCTCGAACGACAGTTATCATAAAATTCAAGGGAGATATTGATGTCATGATAAGTCCCATGGTGTTAGAGTCTCTTCAACGTTTCATAGAAACTATCGTGCCAACTTTGGCTATGTTACATCCATTAACTATTTTAAATCATCTCCATAATGAATGTATAGAAAAAGTCAAAGATGCTAACATTTTAAAACAAGATCAAAGTTTATCTTATTGGAGTCAAGTGCAAACCAGTTCTAAACGATCAACAGCAGAAAGGAATGTTAAGAATGGTCAGGGTGATGATAAAAGTTGGTTTATGCTCATTAAATCAACCTTTTTCTTTTTTTATTTTATTTTATTGTCATCTACATCAGTTTTGTTTTAATTTATTATGTTTAGGTAAAATTGCATTACAAACTAACGTTTATGAAGAAAGTATTACGACTCAAGTACAAGGTAGCATCATTTTACCAAAGGTATTGTATGCATACCCCCACACGCACACACATTTTAACTAAAATATTATATTTATTAAATATAACTTAATTATAATAAGATTACTTTTGTAGATGAATTTAACGTTATTGCAAGCATCTGTTGTCGAAGAAATAATATCTTTCTCTGCACTTGAAAATATACGAGATCTTACATGTGTATCACTATTTGCAATTTGTTTTGACGATGTCACCGCAAGATTTTATCTTGGAAAGCAAGCAAGAGAAGTCGTTCAAACATTTCACAAACCTGCCGTTTTACCAAATCAAAAAAAAGTTAATAAAATTAGTAAAGCCTTTTTACCTGGTCACCAAACTACAGCTGTAGTAAGTGATTTTGGTGGCGGAGAAACTGTATATATTGAAACATCTGAGAAACAACAGGAAGAGATTATAATTACTTTAAATGTTGGTTAGTATATACGCATATATCATTTAATTATATTAAGTAGATAAATAACTTATAACTTTATTATTTATTATCGTATTATCGTGATATCGTATTTTTTTTTATAGGAAAAGTTCATACGCAATTGCGTAGACTTAGAAATGAATCTTCAATATTAAAAGATGCCGTTATAACAGCTATACCTGCTCATTATTCAAGAGTATTGTTTACATGTACAAGAATGACTTCTCCATTAAAATGCATTGATTATTATCTTTTGCAATTACCTGACGAAAAAGATAAACAAAATGTAATAACTTTAATTTATTAAGATGCACATTATTGCAGTTTAAAAAAATAATATTATAACGTAAATTTTTATGCATGTAATTTAATAGAAACAAACAGGTCCTTCTCAAGCTACAGAAGAATTTACTATGGGTAGTGGGGAAGATCGATTAGGATTCATTATGTTCGAATGCGGTTTGGAGGGGATTAAATTAAAAATTGTAAAGAGATCGCAATTTGAGAAAGGAGAAAACGGACGTGATGATAAAAAAGCAGAAACTGAAGTATTATGCAATGATAGTACAAAAAGTCAAGATGAATTAGATAATGGAGTTGGTATGTATAAAAAAATCTATACAAAATTTAATTTATTTTTTGTTTTAATAATAAGTGAGAGGAAAAGAGGAAAAATATTATAAATATAATTTTTTATCAGCTTCTACAACTCCAGCTCCTGAACAAGAAACAAGTTCGACAAACGTACTAAATGGAACGCAAATAAATAACAGTGCTACTTGTGCTAGTCTTCATTCCAAAGCAACTAATGGAAATACTGTTTCATGTATTATTGAGCTAAAAACTGTATGGTTTAATTTTGCAGCACCACCTCGTACTCCGATAACACGAAAAATAGATTATACGCGATTAGATTGGAATTTGCTTAGCACTGCATCTCCAGCCATTAATGCTTGGATGAATCCAAGTAATAAATTTGCTATTAGAATTGTTTATATGTTTAGAACTATGTATCGAAGATCAACAGCAATAGTTGCTTGTCTCATGGCAGAAGCATTAGATGTGCAAGGTATCCACATGCCAGTTAAGGTAAAAATCTATTATATTATAAATAAATTGAACGAACATATGTATAAATCAATGACGTATTCTTAGAGTCGTTATGGAAGATTGACACCGCTGGCTAAAACTCTACAAGAAGATCCGTCGTGTCAATTATGTACAATTTTGCAAAATTATGTATTACTATCTGATTTGGCTAATATAGAGACCAATCTTAAAGAATCTGATTTACCTCTTTTATCAACACTTCGACAGGTAATAATAGTTATACGATATTTATATTAATATGATGTTGAATAAAAAAGATTGATATATTTATAATCTATTTTTATATGTTTGTTTTATCTTACAAGGGAGTAATTGTATTAAGTAGACAATGGAAAAATGTACTTTACACCCCATTACTTTTGGAACACAATTATAAAACTAAACATGTCAAACCTCTGAACGTCACATTTGCTGTTTCTGATCCTGATGAGGTAAGATTTTATATATTATTTCATTAACATTTTTATATTATGTTATATAATTATAATTTAATATCTTATTAATACAGTTTTAATATAGGAAGTATTATTAAGTATATAATAATAATACAATATTGATAATTTCAAGCATTGTTATACACTCTCCATGAGAAAAGTATAAATCCAGTGGCATACAAATCAAAATTAATTTTAATTTAGAAGATTCCGACATCATTTTGCATCTTTGATAAATAAACATAAGTAATCAATATACTTTTCATTGTGCGAAAATGTTAATTCTGTTGAGAATTTTTCTTTCAGCAATTGATCTATGAAGATTTGGAAGGAAATAACAATGTAAAAGAGAGTAAGAAATTTTTTTTTTTTTATATACATGGGACAAATTAAAAC